AAAAGGGTCTACTCACACCCGCCGGTCAACGCATTTGTCCAGGAGGTCTGCTATCGCCTTCTCCTTACATAATAACAAGATATCCTTTTCCTCCGCGATGGACCAAGTGTTTCTTTTTGCCTTTAACGGTGAGCTCGTTGTAATTGAGCGAAGAAAAAAATAAACAACTTTTCCCCGCCAGTAGCCTGCCAGTCCGCCGCGGGGCAAGCGATAATTTTCCCGCCAAAAGTTAACGTATGCGTACTATGCGTTCGCGCCTTATGTAAGACGCGAAGGAAGCGAAGGTCATTCATACGAAGTTTTTCCCGTCTTAAGAAAGACGCGTCTTATCTAAGAACAGGTAGTAAGGGCTGTTCTAAAATAAGACGCGTCTTAGCTAAGTCGCGTCTTATTAGTCAAAAGGTTTCTTTAAAGCCAAAAGCTTTCTTTAAATCTATAAAACAACAGAGACGAGTTTACCTTTAGGTGGTGAAGTATTGATAAGAATGTAACCCATCAGTGCGAAATCCTGGGAGAAATCCAATCTGGGAAGGATGTACTGTAGCAGGTTGCACTCTTGTATCAAACTGAGTAATATGGAACAAAATAAATTGCTTATAAACAGCTAGAGACACAAATTCCACTGTAGTTCGAAGGATCAGTGAAATATTAGTCACGTGACCTGCAAATGATCGTTAACATTCAAAGTGTTCAAATTAAAACTGAGGAAAGAAAATGAAAAGCACCAAATATTCTTAGGCACCAGTGTTTTTACGATGGCCTGGATATTATGATTAGTAAAATCCAACTAGCGGTCTATTATCAATGCTGTGTTCTGATTGGTTGAGCTACTAGTAGGCTATATGTTATAGCCCACCAGTGGCGAAAAGCGCCGGCTTTGAAAACCAAAACAATGGCGGCTGAATCGATCGCGTTTTGCTAGGAAAGGTTGTTTTGTCTCGATATTTTTGAGCAACTAGCTGGATTTTACTAAAACAATTATTCCTCGAGCCCTAATGGGTTCTGAGTCAATAGCCTATTCGGCCTTCAGCTTCATGGGCTATTGACTCAGAGTCCATTCGGGCTCGAGGAATAATTGTTGAATAGCCCTGCATGTTTGCCTAAGTGGAGCAAGGATTACGAAATAAACAGAAACAGGTCACGTGACTTTAATAACTCTTAATAAAAATGCTTTAATCCACCTTGCAATCTTGCAAGGCTAATTGACAATTCAGACAGTTTCGCTGACAATTTGATGACAAGTATTTTTAGCCTGAAGTTCAATAACCTTGCCCCGTTTGAAAAAACAGGTTTTGTGACGTCACGGTCCAAGGAATGTCACGTGACGGTATATTTTAAAGAATGATCTATTGAGTGAACGGTTCACTGCCTTACTACTGGAAAGGTATCAAAATAAAAAGAATTTCACGGTTTTATGATCCTCGCAGAAAATTGAATATTAATTTAAGTTTATTTAACAATTATTCTTCGAGCCCTCATGGACCTTCATTCGGCTTTCAACCTCATGGGCTATTGACTCAGAGGCCATGAGGGCGAGAGGTATAATTGTTTTAGTAAAATCCAACCAGTTGGTCAAACATATCGTGACAAAACAACTTTAGCTAGCAAAACGCGATTCAGCCGCCATTTTTTTGGCTTTCCAAGCCGGCGCTTTTCGCTACTAGTATCTACTAGGGGGCTATAACATATAGCCTAGTAGTAGCTCAACCAATCAGAACGTAGCATTGATAAAAGACCACTAGTTGGGTTTTACTAAAAAGTAGTATAATCTAACATTGGCCTGGTTAAGTCAAAGAGAAGAGTACCTTGCAGGTTCTTTGGGCTACAGGTAAGTACACCCTCCATTGGTAAAGTTCTTTATTATTTCAAAAACAGGCAGATCCGATGATGTTCCGAGCCCATAGAGCACATATAACATTAGCGAAGTTGAGTTTATTAGTAGTCAATATGTAGACCACAGATGCAATGAATTCACCCCTTGCTATTGATGAAGAGCAGGCTTAACAGGTTTCCAGCTGGCGTTCAACGTCGCCCCGAGTCAGCTGGGTCACGGTGATCACGCCTTGGTTTTTACGATCACTTATGGCTCCGCTTAATCAAGCACCCTTAACCGAGGCAAAAAAGGTTCAACAAGCTAAGGCCGAGGCAAAGCAAGGTTCAATATTCCTTACGATGACAGATACCTCGCACATTCATTTTTTATACAAATTGAACACTTTTCAAGATCTTCAGTCCTTGCAAACCGGTGAGGAGTACACTAGAACAATCTATACAGCTCAGTATCATTGCTCTTAAAATCGTTGTTTGTTTGCTATGGTTAATTTACATATGCCCTGATTTGCCTACGACAAAAACAAACTGAAGGAATAAGCAACATAAAACAGTCCTGAGAAGCCTTTTGAAAGAACTGCCTTACTTTAAATACAAAGGAAATTTAGCGGATTTTCATGTCCGGTTTTTGCTTAGGAGTAGGTTATTTTGAATTTGTCCCAACGCCTCTAGCTTTCGGAGGCGTTGGAATGTTTATTGATGAGACACTTCATTACGCCGTCCTTAGGGCCCATTCACCGTAACGTAATGTAAACTAAGGCTTGAAAAACCACTGCAAAAACCGTGAACGATGAATGTGGCTCAAAGTTGGATCAAACAAGATCGTGATCAGTCGAAAAAGATAAAAATAGAATTAAAGTAAAAAAGACTACTGCAAAGACTGATCAAACAACGTGAAAAAGGCTGAGGTATACAGTCATGTAATATTCATTATCCCCTGCGATGACGTATTAGGCATTATAAGAATAACTAATGCAAAGTTGTCAGTTCATAAAGAGTGTCAGTGAAAGTGGTCAGCCCTCCCACCCTCCCTCTCTCGGACATATTTAGAACTTGGAGTCCTTTGTCGTGTCCCTCGACAGGGATCTCGTCCCATACCTTAATTCTAATTAGTCAGGTAAAGGGATAATGAACTTTTTACTTGGAGCTGGGGTTAAGGCTTTCCACAAGTTGCTCAGCAACGTTTTGGCAACTTCTCGTATTTCAAGCAACGTTTTTCGTTTCGAGCAACTTTTTGCATTCTGAGCAATCTCTCTAGTTATCTTCTAATTCTGAGATATCAGAGCAGCTTTTAGTGCTTCAATTGGCCTTTCTTCCATATTTCACAATGTTTCAGTAGACAATTAAAATTTGGCGTGGAAGACTAGAACGGGCTCTTTAACGAAGGGTATGGCTGGGGACGAGTCAGGATGACAAAGATGAGATCAGTGGGGTGAGTTGAGAACCACTACGACTCTAGGGTGGGGAGGGTGGATCCTTGGTACCAAAAACCTATTTAGCTGAGGGCCGTAAGAGAAGCCATATTTAAATAAATTCAGCTTGGTAACGATTTGGACGATGCCCATATTTCAGGTTAGTTTTGTGTAAGATAGCTTGTCGAGGGATCCTAACCACTCTCCCTTTTATCCACCATACAGGATGCTTTGCATGTTTTGAAGGGTAAAAAGAGAGATGATGCCAAGAAAGACCATAATTGGTTTCGCTGGAGGCCTCCTTTGTGTGTTGTCACTGGTTACCATTTTTTCTTTTTACTCGGTCAATCTGCGTTTGAATCATGCGATGATAACTCCAACGAAAGTAGGGTGAGCAAAATGTTATTTCCATGATTATATTAAACCCCCAGGGGTACTCCCATATACAAGCCATATAGATATGTGTCCGACCCAAAGGGTATGGTTTTTGCGCCATTTTGGTCTGAAAACTGGTATGGACTTTGCCCATTTTGGTCTGGAATCAGGTATGGAAATGTATGAACGTATTTATCTGTCGTTTCAATGCCAAATGAATATGAAAGAAAGAGTAATATGCACACTCAATTTGTTGTTGTCCTAATCCTAATAATGACATAATTTGTGCCTGTGTAAACATATATGTTACGTTTTGTCTAGCCATTAATTACAGAAATGGCTGCGAGCCTTTTATAAGAAAACCTCCGACCGCACTTTGAACCTCCCCCAGGTCTGAAAACGGGTGTGGAAAATGACATTTTTTGGTCTGAAATGGGGTCAGGATTTGGAGAACCGAGCAACTTCACCGAGTATGCCTGCCCTTTTTGTTAATCTGAACAAAGTCCTTCAGTCCAGTACCTCTCGGACGACCTGTGAAGGCTGTATATGTACCGTAAATCCTCTATTAAAGCCCCCCCCCCCCCCCCCCCACCACTACCTCCACCCCCCCCCCCACCCCCCCACATTCCACTACCAACTCCAACCCACCCGCCCCCTACCTCCTCCGCACCACTACACCCCACCATCACATTACGCCACCAACCCCACTACCACCCTAACCCCTCACGCGCGGACGCCCCGTGGGCGCGTGATATTTCCCGGTCTACCTCTCTATAATCACCCCCCCTCCCCTCTCAAATAAGCCCCCTCCGTCTAAGAAGCCCCCTTGTTAGGGGAAGAAGGTTAATAAGCCCCCCCTCCTCTCTGTTAAGCCCCCCCCTGCCCTCCTCTATTTATCATTTACTAATAAATGATAGATTGAATTAATCAACCTCGTGTGACTGGTCGAAGATGGTTTATTTACCAACTGGGAGATCGGAGATCCTCGGCTGCATGACCTAAAACTTCTTGTACCTGAGCTTTTCCACTTTGCATTCTAGTTCTTTATGGAGAACTGATGTCATTGTTGTTTCTAAATCAAATAAGCCCCCCGTCTCTATTAAGCCCCCCCTCAAATAGGCTTGAAATAGATAAGCCCCCCCGGTTGGCTTAATAGAAGATTTACGGTAAGCGTTTGCAGTGAATGATTTATACTTTTACCTCAGGCCCAGCTGATGCAGGGAACACAGTGAAACAATTCAAAACACTGAGTTCGTTTATAAGACCGTCTTGTTATCATAACTGCAATATTTCCGCCTAGGTGTAAGAAAGTAGCTAAGTCATTTTTTTTTATCAGAAAAGATGGTCTTGAGTTAGTTCAATTATATCTGCAGGGAGCAAAAT